GTTCTCCCAACCTCTGCCAAGGATAGGGAATTTCATAGGCTTTCTTCCGATACACTGAGTGTTGATAGTATGTTGCTGACAGATGGCAAAAGTATTTTTGTAAACTGGAAGTGTTTTTTCTTCAGGATATCAGTTTTCGTAGAATGAACTAGTTTTCAAAAGCAAAAACTACTATAACAAGAACTGTTAGGGTGCAAGATAACAAAAGCCCATTGACTTCATTCCTCTACCAAGCAATTAAAGCATTATCAAAACCAAATTAAATGTAGTCCTTCACATCCATGTATTCAGCACAAAAGTTAATGAGAACTTGAACAAAGAGTTTAATTTACATAATCAGGTTTATTACTCTAACTAACAAATAATTTTGGTGAAGAGCAAATGTGCACTTAGATTTTGAAAGTTCAAACCTTTTGCCCATATGTATTCAATTCTGCATTCTAGTTTTTCATTTCACCACTCAGACAAACCATCCGTAAGCAAATTGTTTAACTTCTATATATGTTTAACCATCTGAATCAAGTCAATTACTCTTTAACTTATAGTCTTTCTTCATAGCTTAGATGTTTTACTCTAAAGTCGTTTTATTGTTCTTTTTTTTTACATTGAAGTCAATATCTGGATATTCTGGTTGTAGTAAGGAAGCTAAAACTGTTCACAGTTTTCTAAATGAGGCTAGCTAGTGTCTTATGATAGGTTTATAATAATGTGATATTTTTACCCATATGATAGAAACCCCTCTTAAAGCCACTAGGTTTAGCAGAAAGTATACTTGTTTTTTTCCTTGCAGCCAAACACTCATTTAAAGCTTCAGACTTTTATCAATATTAATATCTAAAATAACTTTCTTTCTTTTTCCACAACACCAATATTCCTCTTACACAAGCGGTAAATCCTTTCCAAACTTCCTTACCCCAATAGTGCAGTATTTTTTAAAGTTTTGTTACTAAAAGTTTTAGTTTAGTTTAGAGAATGGGACAGCCAAGATGGACCAATAGGTCTCATTTTGTCCCAGATCATTATGTTATATTATGTTTTTCATCCATTAAATAAAAACTTCTTTAAGAAATTACTAGGTTAAACAATATGGAAATATTTTTACTGAAACAATTAATCTCAATATTTAAGATGGTAAATAAAGTCATAACTTCCTGAATCTCAAAAATTATGATTATTTTAAAAATAATCACACCACTTTTGCATGCTTTATTCTTATTTTAATATATTAAACATAATGGTAACAAAAAATTGTTACATGTCTAATGGAATGTTCTCTATATGATACATCAGATTTCAGTCAACTGCTTCATTGGGCATTATTTCAAATAATTCAAAATCATTGTTGTCTTTAAGGACCAAATATCAACTGCTAGATCTTACAAGAGTGGCAAATAAATCTTTTTAATGAGGCTTAAACTGAGAAAAACCATTGACTAATGGGAAATAGAGTACTTAATTGTTGGTGGTATGGTTTTATTGTTTTGGCTATAGGAAATGTGTCTTTTTATAGTTCTTAGTGTTACATTAAAAAAATTTAAAGTGATTATCATAGCCGTGAACTAGGACTATAATATAGTGACTGAAATTACATCATATATTTTTCCAAAAACATTTTGCAGTTTCTTTCACCCTCAACTAATCAAGGACTGGTTCAAGTTCAGCTATGCATAAGAATAGAATAAAAGTAGTGCTAAACAAGAACATAAAAGTTTCAAAGTGAATATTATTGAAAACTGTTTCTTTTCTCTATTACTTCGTGATTTAGAACTTTTTTTTTTATTACTTTTCTTGCATTGTTGTTACTTTTATTTGACAGAGACTATAGTCCTACTCTTCCATCAAGAAGTCGGGTAAAAAAGCACCAGCAAATGATAAAGAAAAATGCCAGTTTACACAGTGATTATCTTGGTCATCAAGCTATAATACCTGTAAGTTTGACTGTAGTTTTTGTTTTTAAGTGCAAAGTATTCCATAAATAAGAAAGAAGTATAAATCTGTATTGGTATATATATGCATAGTAATCAGTAAAAATGTGTATTTTATAGCAAAGATGAAACACTTTATTTTGATAGACAGTGTGAGCCAAGACTTCCATAACTATGTATTATGCATTAAAAAAAAGTAACTTTATACAAGAATCCAGTTCTCTCCCTTCAGAAAACTCAGCAAACACCAAATATGTTTACAAGTTTGCAAGAAGAAAAATTTGCAGCACTTTTAACTCAAAAATTGTTTCAAGTAAAAAAAGAAAGGGCAACTCAGGAACGAGTTGAAGAGTCTTTACAAAAACTGGAGGTATGTTTCTCTCTCTTACTCTTCAGCTGAAATTATGAATGAATTTATGGTTTGGCACCTTGTGCGAATTAGTTGTGTCCTGTTTTTGTAACTAATGTCATAAAAACAAGTTTCTCTCTCTCTACAGATTGAATATATATGAATATAGCTTTTCTTAATTTCCATTGAAACATGCATGTAACTTTATATTTTGATTGAACTCGTGACTAGTTTGTTGATTGAATGTGCAAGTGCAGAATGTTTTTTTTTATTCCGATGGAGATATAACTTAGTTGAAACTATATATGTGCTTTTTGTTTTTTCATTTGTAGGCAGAAGAAGATATATCCTTGTCAAAATCTTGTGTTAGAAATTTACAGCATCCATTGGACACGTTTCTAGATATTCCTTCACAGTTTTTATCAGAAGCTATAACAGATGAGCAAGCTGTTTCAGAATACAATGACCAGTCTATTTTGGACCAGCATGTATCAAGGGTGTGGAATGACTCTGCACATCATACTCCGAGTGGATCTCCAAGTCTCTTTTCTCCTTCCTCAATATCAGTATCACCTCAACTAGAGAGGCATAGATCTGATTCATCAGGTTTTGGCTCTCTGGTGTCTTTGAGGTTGTCCACTTCAGGTATGAGTACTGTGGGCCTCTATGCCAGTCCTTACGAATCTGTTCATTCTCATCATAACAATTTGGGTCATCCAAAAGGGGTATGTAACCTTTTATTGAAATACAGGATATATATATATATATATATATATGTATAACTCTTAGTCATATACAGTAAGTTATCAATGTGCTTAAAAGATAAGATTATTAACACTGGTCTCCACAAGAAATCAAAATTTGATATATTTCAAAGATGAAAAATAATAAGAAAGCATTCATAGTTTCTGTTACAGGTTTTTAAAAATATCTTTATCTCTGTAAATTCAAAATTTTATTAATAAGTTTAAAAAAAGTAATTTATTGAACTTATGAGTAGACTTTTAATTCTAATAATTTTGTTTAATCTATGGAGAGGAAAAATATATTGTGAAAACAAAAAACTTTAAATTCTAATTATTTGAAATTTTTGCATTAGTTCTATAATCATTGTTGTAAATTATTTAGTGGCTAGAATGATTTATTGTTGTATTTATGATATCAACAATATCCACTTGATTTAAATTTTTGCATTAGTTCTATAATCATTGTTGTAAATTATTTAGTAGCTAAAATGATTTATTATTGTATTTATGATATCAACAATATCCACTTGATTTAAATTTTTGCATTAGTTCTATAATCATTGTTGTAAATTATTTAGTAGCTAGAATGATTTATTATTGTATTTATGATATCAACAATATCCACTTGATTTAACAAAATCCCTAAATGAGTCATTGTTTTAAGTAAATGATAAGTTTGAAAAAGTTGTTTATTTTTTCTTGGAAATCTTCAAGGAGATCATTATTCTAATAAGCAACACATTAATTTTTAAGCTATACATAAACCATATAAAACCATCACAATATGCTATAAACATTTGCAATGCAATTTCTAGGTTTGAACTTCCATATTAATTATAGACAATTATTCATTGTTATTTGTTAGAAAAATTGTTTGTTGTTTCTGACACAATGTTTACTTATTTTTGTTTAATAGAATCAAAATTCATGCTCAAATGCTAGTGGAACAGTTCATGATTTCACTTCTGATAATGAACCCAGAAAATTTTCTCTTCTTCCTTTCCACCTTCACAAGCATTTCCATCATCACCATTCAGTAATGGCCAAAAGAGTTGGGGCAGCATCAGAGCTGCCAAGTGTGACCTCTGCTGAACACCACCAGACTTGGCACTCCAAGGACGTGTCCAGGAAATCATGTTGCAAGAAGTTATCAACCAATGACTCTAGTAGCAGCTGTAATGATAGTGGAGTTAGTTTAGCATGTGATCCAGTGCTGCCAACCCTGGCATCTAATCAAAGGTAGTAGTCAAGACATGATTTTTAGATGTGATTAATTTTATAACACTAGAGAACCAAATGTAAATTTTTCTTTTTGAATGATATTGTACCATGTATTTCTTGACAAATATTTTAGTACCACTGCTCATCCAACCAAATTATTATGCTTTTTTTTAATAAAATACCATTTGCAGCATGGCACTATTAAAGTGTAACCTGTGAAAAAAGCATGTAAAGGATATTGACTAATTGACTTACCTGAACAATATTCATAAACTAAATTTCTTCAGTATACTGATTTTAAAGATTTCCTTCTTTTCCTTGACATTATCCTTAGTATAAAGTATTATTAATATTTTTTGTAATACTTCTCAACTATTTATTTTTATGAAGATATTTTAAAAATTGAATTAGATTTGAATATGACAAAAATCTTAATTTTTGAAGTTTCTTTTTGTCATTTAAGAATTTAAAATTTAACTAAAAGAGATTTTTATAGACCAAAGAATTAATATGTAGATCTAATCATGACATCAGTTCATCTCAACTGCTGTTGTAGGATGTTTTGGGAACTGACATTAAAAAAAGAGATAAAAATAACCAATAAAATCGTTAATTTGAGTACTAGAGGTTTACTATTATGAAGTAAATTATATTGTTTGTTTTGCCTGTTAATATTTTTATATTTGTACTCTTAACTTAATTATCAGTTTTTTTCACTTTATTTATTATAAAAAACCTTTATTTGAGAGTATAAGTGCTTTTAATTTGATTTGATAACTACTGAATAAACTTTGTTGAAAAGTATCATCTGAATTTGATACATAAATTAATGTGTCCATATCAGTATAACTTCTTTTTCTACAAATACATACTTGGGATTGTTGAACTTTACTAGTGGCCTAAGTATTTTTTGTAAAAATCAAAGCAAAATGCTTATTGGCTTATGTAATGGTAAACACCTATGCTATAACTGATTGATCGTAATATGAATTTTTGACGAATTTTAGTTTCTGTGTGTTTTAATGAGAAAAGCCAGGTTTGGGCTATATGCTGTGTCCACTGCAGGGAATTGAACCCTGGATTTTAGTATTTTAAGACCCTAGTTTTACTGCTGTCCCATCAGGGGACTTGCACCATGAGACTCTAAATGTTATTATATACTTTATTTTTAAGGAACCTATTATAGCAGAATTCTAACTTCACATTGTTGGAGGCTTTTATCAACAAGGCTTTTAAAATATACAGGAGATCATCAGAGCAGTTGGGTTATAATACAAAATCATAGTTGAAAAGCTATTTATATCAGTTATTTATCATATGTACTGTTTTGTAGGAGTATAATTCTAAACCTTTCAAAATATGACTTTTGTAAGAAGAATAAGTTTTATAAAATATTGTGATCATGTTATTGTATCTATAAAAGGGTCTAATTTATAGCTATAGACCACAAACTATTGTATGTATCAGATATGAAGTAGTAGCCAGAGAGTGTTGTTAAACGTTTTGTGTATTCTAAGGGTTTCTAGTTGGATGATGGACAATGAAAAGTACTGTTGTGGTCCTGATTTGGAGAAGGATTCTTCTACAAGACAGAAGAAATCGAATAGATATTCATTATCCACTTCATCTCCAGTACCAGGCCAACAAAGGTAAGAAAAGCTTTTAAAAATAGTACTATATGAATTACTGACAAAAGGGTATTTTACATTGGTTTTGAGAAAGGCATCAAAAACTTTTAAATTGAAATATCTACTTTTGCACATATTTATTTCAGCATAATTGAATGTAGAGGTTTTCTTAAATGTTTAGGTTTCCTTTTTTTTGAGAAACAGCATTTTTTTCCCACTGTTTGACTTGTATTTGTAATGGTAAAAGTACTAATAACAATTGGTACAGTATTAGTACTGTGTGAGTTGCTGGTGAAAAGACCTTAATAACAGTAGGTACAATATCAGTATTGTGTTAGTTGCTGGTAAAAAGACTTAGAGCCAAAGATGGTAAATAAGTGTTTGTTTTATTTTTATCCTGTAATCTCTATATAATAAAAGATAATTATTGATTATCTCTTCTATTATAAGGAATTCTAAGAAGTTAGTGGCCTCACCTTCTGGCTCCTCAGAGGGAGAAGATTCTATTCTTTGGTCTCTTCTTCTTCAATTACCAGGCAGTGTACCTTGTTATAAATCTTGTTCTTACACGCCAACCCATACTTATCCATGGGTGTTACAACCTACTCAGCCCATTGCCTTAGATCCATCCATGCCAGTCCTTCCTCCACCCGACACAGCAACACAGCTTCTGGAAGCTAAGCGACGGCTAGAAGATGAGGCACATTTAAAATGTGGAAAGAACAAGTAAGTCATTTGTTCAAAGTATAAAGAATGTTTATCGTTTGTGAAAGATGGCAAGAAAAAGATGGTATTTACTTTTTGTATACAGCCTGCAACTTGCTCGTTTATGTATAATGTGTTATAATTTATTAATTTATTAGTGATAATAAGAAATATTTAGAGATTAATAATAGTTGAAGCGCCAGAACCAGACAAGGTTTTCCCCAGTGGAGGTCAAAAATCAGATATGCAAGCCTCTCTGTCTTTTATTTTTTGTAGGTGAACAGCCATTGGGCAGGTGCGAGTGGTTTGTATCATTTAGGAAAGCTTGCCTTACTAATCTTTTAACTTCTTTTGAGAATGTTATGTGATATTTGGATGATAGATACATTAGATACATTACAAGTCAAAAGAGGTAAATTACCTATTTATACAAATCACTAGTTATACCTCACTCAGAATACTGTGTACAGCTTTGGTCTTATTATCTATGAAGGATAAGGACTTATTGGAAAGGGAGGGTTATTAGTATGATCGTGGGGATGGAAGGGTTACCTTTTAGAGAGAGGTTAAGATCTCCCAATTTATTTTCTCTTGAGAACAAAATCTGCGAGAGGTGATCTTATTGAACTATCCATGCTTTGGAGTGTGTTGTCAAAATTGCAGTTTACTCCTTTGATTGGGACCCCTCATCCTACCCCCACATGGATGTTGGTTCTCAGTGCTGGATTTTGGATTCAGAGCTGAAATGATCAACATAAGTCCTCACACATGTATTACAGGTGTCTCTGTTCCCTCACTCAATTATACTTTTGTTCACTTCACACACATTGTGGGTCACGGTACTGCAGATTATTATGGTTCTTTCTTTTACACTATCCCTCAATGATTTTCATATACCGAAGATGTTTTTGTGCTGGGGATGGTTCCTGTCAGATTGGTTTTGAGTGGGAGTGTTTACTTTATAGGGGCATCTTTCTTATGTCAATCGTCTGGATGTCAGGTTCCTGGATCGGTCAAACAATTTATCATATTGCTATCATGGGTCATATTCACAGATTGGTGGGTACGAGATTTCCCTCTGGTTTGCTGAAGTTGAGGTGAAGATGGTATGATCGTCTTTCCTATCCCCACCAGATGGCTGGGTTTTGGATTGCAGTTGACTTGCTGCTGGTATGATCCTCTTTCCTACCCCATGGATGTCAGTTCCCAGTAGTTGGATTTTGGATTGTAGTTGACTTGCTGGCAGTTTGATTTTCTCTACTACCTCATATGGATGTTGGTTTCCAGTGGCTGAGTTTTGGACTGTAGTTGACTTACTGATGGTATGATCCTCATACTACCACCATGTGCTCCCCATCAGGACTTTTAGTCAGTTCTGCTAATTTTCTAAGCACCCAATTCTTAAAGGGGTAAATATGGTATATATATATATACAATTTTATTTAAAGGCTGTTCAATTTCAAATTCTCAGATTTACAACAGATATGTTTATATAATGCTAACTTCCAATAACATTAAATATGTTGGGTTTAAATATACAGATTTATATATACAGATAACGAGCCATAAATTTAAGATTAAAATAAAATAAAACTACATTAATTTTGTAGTTTAAATTTTCATCCTTGAAAGTAAACAACATGAAAATATCAAATAACTTCTTTATATATAAATAGATAAAATCTAGTGTGGGTTTAGTTGTAACTAGATGTTTGACTTATATATTTATTCAACATATGTTACTATGTTGTCACAAACAAATTTCCTTGATAAGAAAGAATCTTTAAGATGATAAAAGCAGTGTATCTTTAAAAGTTTAATTGTCAGACCTATGTTTCTAATGACTGGGAGTATTAGAATAAGAAACTTATTAACTTTGTCTTATCACTGATAATGAAAAGACTTGAGGTAAAGTGGTACTGACACATGAGCACAGAAAGTAACATATGCGATAGTCTACAACCTGTACTAACTTCATGAGAAAATTATATTAATTAGTCAGAGTACAATATTTTTAGAGTTTTCAATTTCATTAAAACAAATATTAGTTTTCTTATGTCATTTCTAAATCAGTATTTGATGAGAAAATCAAGAATTCTAATCAAAGAAGGAAAGGCGTACTGTTATTGGAACTAGAAAGAACCTGAACTAAACTGGGTACATTTTGTTCTTAATTGCATCAGGACTTTTGGTCAGTTCTGCTAATTTTCTAAGCACCCAATTCTTAAAGGGGTAAATATGGTATATAAGCATAAGTAAGTAGTAACTGTGCAGCATTTTGTAAAACGTATGTATATTATTCTTCATAGTTAGTAACCCTAACAGAACTACTGTATCTGTTATGTACAATGAAACGCTTGTTCAGGATTTCATATTTGAAGTTAAGGTGAAAATTATTTTACTTATTGTTTTGAGTTTCTTGTGGTTTAATTGAAGTATTAAAATTTTTGTTCAAAATTTTTTTTCTTGCAAAGGTTGAACAAGAAAATTTTATCTAATCACCATCCTGGGTCTGGCTACTCTGGAGAGTTCACCATTATTGGTTACTATTTCTCTGGAGAATCAGTGCCTTACAGGACTAAGCTTCCTGGCAAGAATGTCACCCTCAAGCAATTCAAAACTCTTCTTAGCAGGAAAGGAAACTACAGGTATAGCATACAGTGGCGTAAGTAGGTTCTCACAATTGCAGGGGGGCCCCAAAGGGCCTGAGAAACTTAAGAATTGCTGACAAGGGGGAATAAATTATTTTTGCTTTAAGCTGCAATAAGATGTTTGAATCTTGAAAACCTTTTCCTGTGAAACTAAAGACCAGTTAGGTACACATTTGGAAGATAAACCAGATAATAATTTTCTAAAATTGTGTATTAAGAAATGATCAGGGTTGTAGTATGCTTAAGACCTCATTCCATTAAATGATTATGAAAAATAAGAGAATTAAAAATGTATATTGATGGTGAGCTTAGATTTTCTAGGTTTAACTATAAGGATTACATTGATAACTTAAACTACCCAGTAATGTAAGCAGAGAGACAGAAGTATGAAGAGCTGCAAAATTATAAACTGTTTTTGTTTTTATCTATATCTTCATTCATGAATGTTATATTTGCTCATGTTCTTTTTGTCATTTTGTTTACAAGTAGATTTTGCCAAGATCCAATAAAAAACATATTTTTGTTTTTACTATATTCTATGATAAGTAGACAAATCTAGAATGTAGTGGTTGTAAATGTAGAAATAAATGTAAGATATGAGATTAAATTTTTATGTGTTTTACATTTGCTTCATGAAAATAAGATAAACAAAAACAACAACAAAGAGGTACAGAGTTCTAAACTGTGGTTGTTTGTTCAAACCACAAAGTTTAAGGCTTCATATGTTGCAATTCAGTTGTAAGAATATCTTGTTGAGAGAGAGAGAGAGAGATAACACAAAGAACATTTTTAAAAGGAGAGAGGTAACACAGAGATTATAGAAAAATTTTATAAAAAGCCGTGTTGCATACTTTCATTCTAGTATGAAAATTCAGATAAACAAATATTGAACTGTAAATTCTTTATCTTTTTATTTAAGGATTGATTTATATCCTATATTAATAATATCAGCTGTACGAAGTTTTACTCACAGTATATCTTTTTTTTTCACAGGTACTTCTTCAAGAAAAGATGCAATGAATTTGAAACTGGAATAATAAATGAAGAAATATCAGATGACAATGAGGTGTTACCTCTTTGGGAAGGGAAGGTCTTTGCTACAGTTGAATTGGTAGATTGAACTGAGATTTCTCTTCCACATGTTAGAATATTATTCTGTTTCTAGAAAGTGTACAGTTCTGTCATTATAGTAGATTTTAATTATTATTAATTTCATATTAAGATGAAATTGTCAAATTTTCATCAGTTTTTTTATAAAACAAAATGTAATAATTATAGCCTGACTCCTCTGAATCAACAGTGTCCTTTTTATTTATTTATGTGTAGGATGTATGTGTATGTCTGGAAGTTTGTTTTATTAGCTATAAATTGCTGTTATAGTTATGTATGTGTGTGTTTATATATTTATAATAACTGTCAATATTACTTTTATCCAACATTTTACATTAATGTAACTCAAAACATGTAAAAACTACATTCTCATGATGATAATGTTCCTACACATCTATATATTAATGTTAATTGAAAACATGTGTCTTTGCTAAGATATACATTGACTGTTGCATCCAATACTTGATAAACACAAGGGTTGATAGGGTTGCAGCCCTGGGACCACAGTAACCTTGATAACTTTGAAAAAAATACAAATAATTCTATCAATGGGTCCCTAAAAATACATTAGCTTCATCCAAATCTGGTCCTGGTTTTCAACCTGAGTTTCTGTGACTACTGAATGATTGCGTGTTGTGTATTTATTTAATGAAATGTCAGGCTTAAGGAGTTAGTTTATGTCTCTATACATAGTTTTGTTGATGTTATGGCTAATAATTGTGCCATTGCCTAGCTGTTTCTGCATCATCATACAATTTTATGTGCATTACCAATCTGTAATATCTTTCTTTTGAAAAACTATTTAATATTTATATCAAAATTTCTTAGAAATGAAATACAAGCACTCTGAGTTTAATACATAGATTTATATTTGTTTGATAAATGTGCTGAAAAATACTTTTAATGCTCAAAAATTTACAAATGCTGTTTAAATTTTCAAATATTTATTTTACTACTCTTTGTTAGCATATTTCCTGAAATATTATCAAACAAAAAGGGTAAACAATTCTCCCAGTGACATGTTTATTTTTAGATGTACAATTAAAAACAAAGAAACAGTGTTTTATTTTGTTTCTTATGTGAATCTTGAAACTGGTAAACTTTGAAAAGTTTTAAAGGGAATTAGCCACACTTTTCAAGACTAAACTAAAATTTATGTATTGGGACCTATATATGTGCTCATGGCAGTGAAAGAGTTTCAGCCTTTTAAATTCTTTCCTTCTTCAACATCATAAATATCCAAAACTGACAGATGTGTGGATAAACAGGTTTCTTCAATTAGGAGTTGTTTCATAAGTCATTTTAAAAGTTTCATTTTAAAATAAGGTGACATTGCTATTATTTTTTTAATTTTGATTTTTTTTTAAACTTAAGTCCATTTACCTTAAATTATAATGTAAATAGCTGTTTAGGTTTTTCTGGAATTATCTACTTTTAAGTTGTTTAACCTCACTGTTTAAAGAGAATATAAACTATTCAGAAAGACCTGAACTTCTGAGAACAGAACAGATAAAAAAAAACAACAACATAATTTTCATGCATGCTCAGGAGTACAATATTTGTTTAACAGATTATTTTTTTAACTACCAAGTGCCCCCTAGTAGTTTAGCTGTAAGCTACAGGCTTACAACACTAAAAATTGGGTTTCTGTACTCGTGGTGAACAGAGTGTAGATAGCCCATAGAGTAGCTTTGTGCTTAACAACAGCCATAACTACCAAAACTACTACTAAGTACAGTAAATGGGTTATATAAATCCTATAAACATGTTAAACATATGTACAAAATAAATCTCACTTCTGCTACTTTATTTTTATTGACTTGTATTGTAGTATACAAAAATAAAGTGAAGGTGAAACAATGTTTTTAAGAAAAACTGGTGTACGAGAATTTATTTATTCATATTTTATACAGATACTTATTTTTTGTAAATTTGAGGAAGTATAAGGCTATTTTTCCATGTTATTATCTTCACAGAGCTTTGAGTAAAGCACATTGTATAATTGTGTCAAAAACTAAGATGATTTTAATGTACTTAGTTTGATGATGAAATGGTTTGTCTGATATAATATCTTTTAATTTGAATGTAAGTCAGATTCTGAATTGTTTTCATTTACTTATTATTAAAGGAATTTTGTAAACCAAATTGAAATTCTGTTGATATAATTTTATGGCTGATCTGCCACTAACCACTGGAAAGAGAAGTCTTCTTTTTTTTTCTTTCATTCTTTCATCCAAAGTATCATGTTATATGTATCTTACATTTTGAGCCAAGATTTTTAGGTCAAATTTTGTATTTCTTGATGAGCATATTTTTAACAATGGTAATTATTTACTGAAAACATTAACTAAAAGATGAGATCCGTCAATATATAAATTCTAGTTGGACTCTTATCTTGGTATTTTTATGTCTTTTTATGCATTAAGATTAATGTATAACAGAAGCTTTGTTGAGGCCTTTAATTGGAAAGAGTATAATATGACATATCAAGTGTTAAAAATATGTTATCAAATGGGATTATGGCAACTGGTTTGTGTATATTGGTATTGTGTTATTTAGTTGTAAATTTTGAATTTTGTAAAAAATGAGATGTCTAATTCTCACAGCTTTGTCTTGTATAAATAAAAATAGCTGCTGTTCAAACCGAGGCCCATTTCTAAATAGGAATAGGATATTTCTAGAAATATATGTTACAAAAGTATTATATTTTATTGATAAAAAATACCAAGTAGAAATGTTATTTTGAATTGTAAATAAAAATAAAAATTCAGTTGTTGTTTTTAAATATGAACAGTTATGGTTTTGTTGTTTTATTACCTTCATTTGTTACTTGTGTAACTGGATTTTTTCATAAATGTTTTTTAGCTTGAATTTCTGAGAAAAATGTTATAAAGCAGTAATTTTTCAGTTGATATTCACTGATACTCATTCTTTAAAATATATACAATTTCACATAAACTTTATAAGTATTTCCAGTATCTAACACCATAACCTATATACACCGAGGTAATTAGGAAGTACCATTTTTTTTTTAACATATCAACTTGTGAATTGTTGTTTTCAGTTTCTAACATTTAGCTTATATATTGTACAGTTTTAAAAAAGTTGCTACAAACCCTAGACATTTTTGGAAACAAACTTACAATATTTAATGGTTAAATCGAAATTTTGCCACATTTCTTTACAGAAAATATTGTATCCTTTTAGCATCTTGCAGTGTGGTCTTTCAATTTTTTTCTGTCTACTTAAGGCATCATTTAACAAAGTTTTTGTACATTATCCTATTTAAAAGGAAGGATGTGTTGTTTCAGTACAAACTTAAACAGTATTATGTATCTTTATTTAAGTATCTGACAGGTAACCATGGAGGATGGTTCTAGTATGGTGTAGCACCACTTTTTACATGAATAACTGTTGCTAATCTGTAACGCATATATATCTCAAGTGAGTTTAGAAAGGTATCTGGTGTGATTAGTCTCCCCTGTTGTTTCAAAAAGTATGCTCAGTTGAAAAATTAACTCCTACTGATGGTACCAAAGATCTTTATATGGTTAAAATCTAAGCTACGGGTGAGCAATTTGAAAATATTGATATTGTTACTTTGAATGATTGCGTGGGTTACACATGTTTTATGTCATGTATTTACATGATAAAATATTTCAACTTTTTCACTATTTCCTTTCTTCCATGTACATACAGTCTCATCTATTTCGCATTGTCTTAATTGAGAGTGTGTCTTAGCATCTTCTACATCAACATTTAATCTGTCATCTGATGCTGATCAGCATTAGTCCTAACTGGAGTCTCATGCAAATCTTGTTTGGTGGATCATGTTGTACAGTTTGAAATACATACTTAGATATAACTGATGGGTCAGCTTACAGTAATACCACACTCAATTCTAAAGTTTATCTTCACAGCAGCTCAGAGGTAAGTTTGTGCTTTGTGTTTAATCGGAAACATAAATACACACACACACACACACATATATATATATTTATATATATATACATATACACACACACACACAATATTTATAGACAACAAGGAACCTGTTGATCAATTTAGGCCATCCCATTCACGAAATTAAATTTTAAAAATAAAACACTCAAAGACAGCTCTTATCATTCAAATATTTATCAAGCCTTCCCTTACACTCTGTTAAATTAACCAAATCCACCACATCTGAAGGCAACCCATTTCAATTCCTTGTTAAAAAAAATAAAACTGGCTTAGTTGAAGATGACTCCTAGTCCTATCCTGAAAAAGTTTATATTTGTGTTCTCCTAGTCTTACCATTTTCACCGTTAAGTACGAAAAAAAGATGATGCATCAACAATTTTCTTAACAATCTTTAAACACCTTAATCAGATCCCTTCTAACCCATCCTTTTTTCAAGAGGAAACAATTTCTGAGATCTTAATATGTCCTTGTAATGGCAACCTTTACATCCCAAGTAGTTCTAGTAGCTCTCTTTATAGAGTAAATTAAGGCCCGGCATAGCCAGGTGGTTAGTGCATTCGACTCGCAATCTGAGGGTCACATCAAACATGCTCGCCCTTTCAGCCATGGGGGCGTTATAAAGTTACGGTCAATCCCACTATTCGTTGGTAAAAGAGTAGCCCAAGAGTTGACGGTGGGTGGTGATGACTAGCTGCCTTCCCTCTAGTCTTACACTGCTAAATTAGGGACGGCTAGCGCAGATAGCTCTCGTGTAGCTTTGAGCGAAATTCCCAACAAACTAGCAATAATACTAAATTAAAACAACGAGAAAAACTCAGAAGGTTCTAGTAACATGACGCAATAATATAACAATTACTAATTCATAACTATTGAACTACACAACGTACAATTCGTAAACACCTACATAAACAAAGCGTCGATAAACAATCTCTTCTAAAAATAACTAAATTTACCACTTGCGCTGTATAAATTACCTTAATCTTTACACTCGCATTAAACTTAAATTGAAACAATCATTCTATTAATGGCTGGAGACGGCTTAAATGGGTAATGAAGAAAAACTTTAATATAAGTTTAACATGACAGCAAATGTACAACGTTTCGACAAGGTTTTGTCATCATCTGGTACAAGCAATTTACAAGCAATATCCGTGTCAGTGTAAATTACTTGTACCTGATGATGACAAAAACTTAGTCGAAACGTTAGTACATTACTGTTATGTTAAACTTACATTAAAGTTTTTCTTTCATTACCCACTCAAGCCGTCTCCAGCC